AATCACATGGGTTACGCATATGTCTAGCGTCCAGAAAAAGCAAATGACTTTCCTTTCTTTCTTCTTCTGTGCCGGGAAATCTTTTGTGCTTTTATCGCTTACCAAACAACACTACTGATTGATCACCATACAAAGAGGCCCCTGCACATTTCTCTTAATGAAATGATTCTGGTTATCAATAAATATGACTGACCTGAGTGACTTGGCCACAAAACCATGTCATGCCTATAACTGCATGCTTGATTTGTAAATCCATTCTGCAATATAAAAAATTAAAGGCCATTCTCAGCCGATGAACGGAACATCCTAATCAGTGACAAGAAAAAATGAAAAATTTAAAATCAGCAAATCGCCAATGTCAACTAAAACGCTCCTCAAGAGACAAAATTACTAGCTAGAGTGGGAGCCATCAACAGTTATATATTCAAAATTAATTTCTCAATAAGATTCAATTTGAGGGCAATAAGACTTTTACAGACATGTATCAATGGAGACAATTACCGAACGGCGGCTGGAGGAGGTTCAAGAGGTGCTTAGCCGATTTTGGAGCAGAGGCCGACGAAGTGTAGTGCGAACTATGGTAGTGAGGAGGGACGGCGGTGACTAACCGGTGCGCCGGCGGTGGTGAGTGGTGAGAGAAGGGAGGCGCTGCGAGGCTGAAACTACAGAGGGCAGATGTATCAGGGTTTAGGGCGTGGGTTTAGATAGCAACATTTTCATTTTTATTTTTGTTTATTGTTGTGAGAAATGACATAACTATATATACAAGCTCGACCGGAAAACTAAAGAATGAAATCAAATAAAAGTCTGTTTGCTTATCATTTAGAGCATCCACAATGCTCTAAGTTCAATCACAAAAAATTGCATGTCAGCTAAGAAATAGATCTAGTTTAAAAAAATGTATTCTCTAATGCAAATAAAAGTAGATTGAGTTCTGCTGATGTGACAATCAGAAAAAGAGACTCGTTCTACTCTTAAGTCTATTTTAGACCCAAGTAGAGTCCTAGTCTCTTTGCATTGAAGTGGATTTTATCAATTTTACATACTTTTATCCATGCCATCCAAGACTTGGGTTTATTTATATGCCACATAGGCAAGACTAGACTCAATGCATTGTAGATGTTCTTAGTAGTAAGCATCTTGTGCACGGACGAGTTTATACTTTTATTTTAATAATATTTTTTTTTGGTACATTATTTTAATAATATATTAACCAGTTGGCTTGTTTATATTATATTAATATTAATAATATTTTAGTACATAATTACATATAATTATTTTTTGATATAAAAAATTTACTTATTTTTTTTATTATAAGACTCAATTATTATTTTATTATAAAAATTATTGTTATATAATTTCATTATTATTATTTATAGCACTTATAAAAGTAATATTCTTCTTTTTCTATATAAATATAAATATTTAATGTATATCTACTATATATTGATGTAACTAATTTAAAAATATATAAACAAATTTCAAATAGAAACCTTGTCATCGAATCTGAACAAGAACCCCTACGACCTCGTCCTCTTCACCGACGACCATGACTTAAGATCACTCAGCAGTCTGTCCTCATTACTCTGCTCTCGCCATTATGACTTAGGTACCTCTTGTTGGGGTTCTATAAAAGGAATGTGGAGTTTATGCAAATAACATATCTAGTCCACAAGAATAAGCATAAAGCGCAACAGACTAAAGTTGGGTTTGAACAATCATGGCTAGCATACTAGAGTTGGGTTTGAACACATCAGTCCACATGGGGGACGGGCTGGGCCTTAGCAAAGCTTAAATTTACAACAGACGACCAAGCCCTTAGCAAAGCTTAAATCCATATCCAATTTACAATAGACGGGCTGGGCCTTAGCAAAGCTTAAATCCATATACAATTACTCTTTGTCCTCTGAAAGGGCAACAGCTCAACCTACACATACACGTGCAAAGGTTGGCATTTTTCAACTTTAGGCTTCTCTTACTCTAGATTTCAATTGCTCTGACTTTATATAAATGCTATATATCACCCCATCTCTTTTTACCATACATACATATACCAACACTGATAAATATAGATAGAAAGTATAGATAGCAATGGAAGGAAATACATCTGTGCACAGTGCGGTGTCGCCTGAGGCTCTGCAGGATCAATCGCCGCCGCGCGAGTCGTCACCTCCTCCTCCAGGTTCCCCTTCCCTCTACGTATTTATATTTGTGGTCTCGTTGACAATCATATGTAAGATGTTTGATTCGATTTTCATATAATTTTCTATGGAGATCTGTGGTGCGGGATCTGATTTGTGTGGAAACGATTCAGATTTCATGCTGAATTTGTGTTTTCATTTGCTTCTGTGTGTTTGGGGTCAAATTGCTGCGCCAACTAGTCTTATGCTGTCGTTGTGCGTTTGATGTTTGTAGCTAGCTGAGATTGAAACCCTAGGAATTTACATAGGTACTTACTGTAACAAGTGTTCGTTTGTTTCCTAGCTTTTGTGATTTTTAATCTTATTCAGGACTGACATATCATGCTGAGCTTAAGTTGTGATTTACTGCATGTTCCTGAGAACAAATAATGAAGACTACTCAATAGGCTCTAAATGTTGAAGTCTTTTTTTCCATTGACAGGTAGTCCTAGAAAAGTAACTAAATTAATGTTTCAAACTGGTTCTATTTTGGAAAATTATTCTCATTTTGTCTTCTACAAATCCACAAATAATGCTGTAGATGGAAATATCTACCAAACCTGTTTTGTCATAATGGTCGGACTATTTTTTACAACTACTCTCAATGGGAATTATGTAAATATTCACTATAATGTTGACACTTCAAATCTGATTATGTAGAAGAAGAATGGAAATTAGGATATTCTCTATAATCATCATACATATTTTCACATTTTGAATTTGTTATTTACATTTTGCAGATGCGTGAAAATTTTTGTTGCTTGAAAGTCACAAATAATGTTGTACTTAACAGTATAATCATATTATATGTTATGTAATATATTCCAACTGCTATATGGTTTGGTGAAAACTTCTTTATAACCACTCTTATATTCTCTTGGAAATTTCATTTTTAGATGCTACCCAAGTGAATGTTTGCTTTTAGCATAACATGTATTTGGTTAGGTTTTAGATTCAACTATATATCAATGACTTGTATCTTCGTTTTTTTTTTGTTCTTTCACAAATCTTACTGTTGTTAGTTTTGTTATATTGCATAATGTAACTTAATCAGTGATGGAGATCAAACAACCATTGTTTAGTTTTGTTATTATTCAAGCATTGTCAATGTAGTCCACCTGAGAATATAATTATCACTATGATGCGAGAATGCTGTGCAGCTACTACAAACCTAGACGTTGGTAGTATCATTGGGATTAAAATAGTGGGGATAATCAACAGATGAGAGGAAAAAAAAAAAGTAAAAAAGTAAAGGGTGTAGAAGAGAATACATAACTTACAAGACTACTTTTAATTTGGTCCAGTCATCCCTCTATATTTCTTTGGGCACTGCAATACAAGTTTTTGTAAGAGCATTTGGTATTGTTGCTTGAGTTTATTAAATTTGGATTATGCCGTCTTGTTGTGTCAATGGAAAGATGCTAACCTTTTCGTAAGAGAAAGGCATACTTGTCCCTCGTTGTGTGTGAGTTACTTATATAGAATTGGAACAAGTTTTCAACTGATTAACCCTGTACATAAGGCTAGATCCTTTTACCCCAGATTGGTTTAAACATCTAAGGCATGGTAATTGACATATGACGTTAGTACATAACTGAGAATTGACTGAGAGGAGGGCCATGTTTGATATCCAGAATGAGCAGAACAAGGATTTTCTATTAACCTTTATTAAATTCTGAAGGATTTTGCTCCTGGAGAATGAAAGCCTACCAAGTCGGTAGGTCTAATTGCATATAAAGATTAGAGGAAAAGATTCGTATAATGAATCTCATTTTCAGGCTCTTACAGATGTAGGATCTTAGTTGCTAGTTTTTAGTATAAGAAGCCTGCTTCCAGTGATAGATTAACATGCTGTACTTCTCTTATGTTGGAAGTTTAATATTTGTTGGAGGCAATGAATTAGTCCTGCTCATCCTGGATATCATGCATAATCCTCCAGTCACACTCTCAGTTATTCTTTTAGTTACGTTCTTGGTCATATGTCAATTACTATGCCTTGGAAGTTTAAAACAATCTGGGGTCAATGGATCTAACTTTCACTAAAGAGTTATTCATTGGTGTGACACAATTTATTTTCTATTGAAAACAAGGGATAATTGCTAAATCTAGCATTGAACTTTTTCTTCTTCATGAAATCATGTCTAGTAAAGTAAGCTGTGTTACCAAGAAATGTGAATTACTTTCCCATATTTTCTATTCTTCTCGCATTTGTATGATGTAACATCTTTTTTGGGATGGCACAAATAATATATTATTTAGGTTTGCCTTAGGTATTTGATTTGTGAATCTATTCTGATCAGGGTTTATATACATTTTCCTTTCATGCTTGTCTTTGTATTTTTAACTCTTGATCGCGTGTGAGTTATTAGTGCTCTTTAATGCAATATTTATTTTGAATGATTTATAGCGGAACCCATTGACTTTAACAGCTAATAGAAACGTGAGTGTATGCGATATTTCTAGTGCTTTTCTAATCGGAGCTCCTTGGCACATGCTATTCTCATTACATTGTGAACTGGAGCTAGCTACACCTATTGTCTCTTCTCTGCATTTTAGAAAAGATGCATTTTATGCGAAAATGACAAAATTTTCCATTGACATTTGTTAGTTCTTACTCTCTTGTTTATGATTGCCTGAAAATGTGCCAGTGAAGTACGCTGATACGATCTTTCCGTTTGATGATTACCTGCTTTAGTATTCTCTGATTTATGCTCCCTTCTTGACATAAGTCACATGTTATACTTTCTTGAAAAAATTCTCTTTGTTGATGGTTTGGGCAGACAATGAAGAGAAGACCACTTATCTTAGGTTCCTTCTTTCAAATGCTGAAGCTGGTTCTGTAATTGGAAAAGGTGGTTCAACAATCAATGATATTCAGTCACAATCTGGAGCACGTATCCAGTTGTCACGCAACTATGAGTATTTTCCGGGCACGGCTGACAGAGTTATCACGGTCTCTGGGAGAGTTGATGACATATTAAAGGCAGTTGATCTCATTCTCTCTAAATTGCTTGATGAGGTATATGAGAATTGTACTATCTTTTGAGACGAGTACTTAGATACATTTACTAAATGTATATTTTTCTGTTTGGGTTAGTTTTATAATCAGGATGGTGGTGAAACTGTTCCAGAATCGAAAATAAAACTGGTTGTGCCCAATAGCTCTTGCGGTGGAATTATTGGGAAGGGTGGTTCCATCATAAGGTTAGCCTTCCTTGCTTTCATATACGTTAAGATGTTTATCAATCTTCTAGATGTTAACTCACTATTAAAGATGTTGATATATGTCTATTGTTACGAATTTTATAAATGCGTCCCATAAATCGTCGATTTGCATTTTTTACCCCCTTCTCATGCTCAATAGATTGTTAGTGACTTCTCCATAATTTTTTTAAGTTCTCGATTTGAAATGCTCGTGTTAAGTACTGTTGATTTATACGACAATATGATTTCATAATACATGGACAATAGATGTACTCTGTTATATATATGTTACTCTCTTTTATCCTGTTGGTGAAAGGAGATCTGTTTATTATGTTTGACTGGGGTATGCAATTGTCAGCCAACCTTCGGAACTATTAGTGAATGACTGGGGTATGCAATTGTCAGCCGACCTTCGGAACTATTAGTGAAGAAGCAAAACATTCCTTTGAATGACAGAATTAGAAAAGTAAATGGGTTCACTAAATTTGAAAATGTAATTTATGCAATTGTTGAACAGGTCCTTCATAGAAGACTCCAGAGCTACCATTAAGGTATCACCGCAGGACAACTATTACCCTGGCTTGCATGATAGATTAGTGACGGTGACCGGTGCTTTAGATGAACAAATGCGGGCAGTTGAGTTGATTCTACTGAAATTGGTAGATGATCAATATTACCATCAATCAGCGAATGTTCCTTTTCCTTATGCTGGTAACTCTCTCTACCTTTGATGTTGCTGCACTTGTGCTTCTTTTGTTTTTAAATGATACTCTCTCTCTCTCTCTATGTATATATATATATATATATGCTACATCTTGTGCTTCTCTTGTTTGTTAAACCACATGGTTGACACGAGCCGACGATGTCTCCTGCATTATTGAGGATTTTTGGTTAGCTAATTATTTGATGTTGTGAACCTTATAGGGGTTTCCTGAATCAGCCAAATAGCCAATAGTAATCAAATTAGTTTAACAAATTACCCTTATCTTTTCTAGTGCTATAGATTGTTGCATTAAAGGAATACTATTCTGCTCAGCAGTAGAACACTCACGGCACCATGGTGGGATTTCAGCCTGCCACCATTTCGCCATTCGTCATTGATAACACCATAGTTTTAAATGGCGACGCCGCATGGCGAGAGGTGACCGAGGCGAAGGTAAAATCGTCTCGCCCCTGCCAGAGGCGACCCTGTCGCCGAGGCAGGCGCACCTCGGAACGCCTCTCTCGCCAAAGGTGATGCAGAGGCGCACCTCACCTCATCCATCACTGCACATTAAAAAAAAAGAAGGAAAAATCGGGCTCCTCCCCAAACTAGGGTTTTTTCAAAGAAATTACTAAGCTTCTCAAATTTGAAAATTGCAGAAACTCAAGGGCGACTTATCCCATTTCCCGCCTCCTCACCGCCGGCGGCCATCTTGCTGCCACCAGGACTACCGTTTTTTTTTTTTAATCAAAGCAGGACTATTGGTGATGCGTGCCTTTTTCTTTATTTTCCTTCTCTTTTTCGCTATTTTCCTGTTCCCGATTTTCTGCCCCTTCCTCTCTCTCTTCATTTTTTTACTTTATTTTACTAGTATAGTCAATAGTCAAAGGTCAAAGGCTGTTCTTTCATTTACTTTTACTTTCCACTTTTTATTTACTTTCCCTAACATTTTTTACTATTTTATATTATCATACAACATAAATATTTCTTTCTATTGCTATTAGTATTCACTTTTAAATTTGAGATGGTTTTAGTAATTACATTTAAATTTAATTTAGTTTATTTTCTTTTAGGATATGTAAGGTTATTTTTGGCACTTAAATATATGATATCACTATCTATATTGTTCTTTTTAAAAAAAAAAATTGATGACTTGTGTTGCCGAGGCCTCGCCATGGCGAATCGCCTCGCCTCGCCATTCGCCATTTAAAAGTTCAAACTATGGATAACAGTGAGCATACTGCTATGAAACAAATATGACAAGAATGTAATATGTAGGATTACTACTTGGTTTGTTACCATATTTAAATTTAAAGAGCAAACTATAAAGATAAAAGTTGACATGCTTCAGCAACATTCACCACCTATAAAATCACTGAAGGGCTCTAGAATGATTTTTCTCTCATTCCTTATCACAAAATATCCTTATTATATATATGTATATACATGTTTCATAAGAATTGTGAAATATGTTAATTGGTGATATTATTTCATAAATTTACACAACGTGAGAGAGTTCTCCTATCAGAAAGATGGTGCATTGTTCGGACTTGAATTAATTTAATTAACGTTGATTGCTTTCCTGGACTGCTCTTTTCTTTTTTCAATATTACTATATAATTAGTGAAGTTGGATATGCACCATTGTTTAAAGTTTGGTTCATGAACCTTCACCACTTGCGACTGACTGTGCTGTGTGATTTTACATACATTTCTACTCATGAGATGCACATAGAAATCATAATCAATTTTTCCAAGATTTTCATAAAAATGCGTTGCATGCATTACCTTCTCAAGTTGCCTGATGAAACCATCATTACCATTACCCTCTGGACAAGTTCTATTTTGCAGTTTGAACTTCTTTATATACTTGTAATATCATAGCAATTCATTTGGACTGCTAGCTACACCATATCTCCAGTTCCTTTAAGAATAATACTTGATTTTCTTTTCTTTTCGCTGTCTCTATATTGTTACGACTGGCACACCTTGTATAAAACTTATCTTTAGTGAGGGCATTTTTGGCACTTCAAAAGTTTCAAGAAACTACTCTTCCTTTTGAGAGAGTTATAGATATCAGAGCACCCTAGGTGTTGTTTTTTAAGAGGCCATGTTGAGTTTGGACCCGGGCCATTTGGTTTTGGCACGCTGCACGTGAGGGCGGGTGTTAGAAGTTAGGTCCCACATCGATTAGTTATTGGGCTGTTATCATGTGTAAGTGTGGCTTGGCGGGCACCCTCTCCCCTTTGAGCTAGCTTTTGGGGATGAGTTCTAATGGTCCCAGAACAATAATCTTCTCCTATAAATAAAAGAGACTGGTGTTTGTTTCTTCAGCACTGGTCATTTATATATTTTTGTTAAGGTGCATGCAAAAGATCAGCTTGTTCTTGTGTTATTATTACATCATCTTAAATAAAACCTAACAGATGTAGTGCGTAGGCCCTTGTTGCTTTGGTCTACTTATTTTGAATTTGTTGTGTAGGTTGTGGAATATAATATTATTAAGAACATCTTCTTCATATATATATATATATATATATATATATATATATTTGTATATATATCTCCTCAACATGATTAAATGCTATCTCATTTGTTGCAACTTTCATTTTCCAGCAGTTATGTACAATGGTATGAACTATGGAGCGAATGGAGTTGTGGGAAAGTATCAGCAGAACAGGTTTCCAAACAAGGTCTGTGATATTAACCTTCTTCTTCGTTTGTGTGAACCCTTCTAATTCTAATTCTCATTTCATTTTTTTTAAGCAAACTGTCCTACCTTAAATTTCTGTTTTCCTAACAATATGAATACTCAAGGGCTGCAATATGCACAGAGCGCAGCTGTAGTTGTCATGGATTTTTGTTTATTTTGAAGAGTTTGAACGTGGTGGAATAACTTTTTGAAATGTGAGAATCTCGTTGGATCTCCTTCTCTTAGGACTATAATTGCGTTTTAACGTGCAGGTGCAGGTGCAGGATGACAACAGCAGTTCTATTACAATTGGCATTGCAGATGAACATATTGGGATAGTAGTCGGGCGTGGTGGACGGAATATCATGGAGCTGAGTCAGGTGTGTGTGTTATTATTAGTGCTGTTAAATTAAACGAGCCTGGCTCGGCTCAGCTCGAGTTCGAGACCTTAATGAGCCTCGTTTGGCGAGCTCGGCTCGATAAGACTCGAAAAGAGAATTTTTATAAAAAGATTTATAGTTCGGCTTGTTAAAGCTCGAGCTTGAGCACCTTAAGCTGGAGTTCGGCTTGGCTTGTTTATAGCCCTATGTGTTACATAGTGTGTGCAGGTCTTTCATTTATCTTTCTCTAGTACGTTACCAATTTTGTGCGTTTTTATGTGTTTCAGCTTAGTGGAGCTAGGATAAAGATATCCGAGAGGGGGGATTTCATGTCTGGGACGTCCGACAGGTACAAGTCAGATGGTCATTTGTAAATATTTTGTCTTCATATGAGGACATAATATCTAATGCCTTGCGTCTTCTTGCAGGAAAGTCACCATTACTGGTTCTCAAAGAGCAATAGGCCTGGCCGAGTCCATGATATCTCGAAAAATTGCATCGATTAGTGAGAGATGATGGGTCAGTTGGCAGTTGGCAGCTATTCTGGTCTCTGTTTGGATGACTTTGAAATTGTCCTTGAGGAAATTGTTAGCGAACTGAAGAT